GTATTGTATTAGCATGTTGGATACTGTTAAAATTTGAATAAACTTCATGACAAAAAACAAAAGCGTAACTTTGTAGCCCTTATTCAGGACTACAACGTTACTCCTTTTTTTCTGCGGGCTTATTCTTATTTGTGAAGGAATTTTTAAAAGCTAATTCGTAATTGGGAAGGTAAATTTATATTAATTGCATTACGTATATAAGATTAATATACATTTTGATTGACATAAATTGGCCAATCACATTTTATCTAAAATCACATGATAGGGGCATGCCTTTCGGTCAAAGGGCATGCCCTAGGCATGCCCCTAAGTTCTATGCCCCCAACCCTAGTCATAAGATGTCGTCTTCCTTAGTAAATACATGTGCCGCGCAGCAGTACATGTAAGTCAATCATTTACTTTAATGGAGTGATATTCTGATGTCATTTTTTAATGACTTCGTTATTACGATCAATGACTTGCCATTTATGCCAGGAACGTTAGGGAAATAAATTGAAAGAAAAAACTCGAAGCGGATTGGAGGGAAGCGAAGTTAATTAGATTCTATGTTGTTGCACAACATACGTTATTCTTTGTGATGTAATATTTCAGATTTGGTGGTAGATTGGAATAGAAGAGGAAATATGCTGGTCGGTATATCATAATGACGAGTTGGAATTAAAATTTTAATATATATATAAATTGGTTAAGATTACACCTCACAGCGTCTCTTGCAAGAAATGTTAAAGAGGGTAAATAAGTAAATTATGAATAAGGATTGTGGATGCGGTTTAGGTTTGTTACACATTATTAGATCATAAGCTTAATTTTGTATCAATTTCGTGACTATATGGTTCCGAATTGGTCATTTTAGAGTGTAATTTTCCCGAAATCGCTTTTGATTAAATGACAAATTTAAAAGAATAAGTAATACCCGCCCAAATAAAATCGAATTATAAACAAAAATAAATAATACAACTTTACTCTAGATCAATCAACTGCCCAACGACAACACGTACCAATATAAAAAATAAAATAAATATACCGGGTGGATGAAAAGCGACTAGACAGTGACCTTTTTTAAATCAACATAATTAACACTATACCACCTATTAATCATCGCAATAAATTAGAAATTGTAATGATTCTTAGTTTATTGCGATGATTACTAGATGGTAAAATGATAATCATGTTGATTAAAAAAAGGTCACTGTCTAGTTGCTTTTCGCCCACCCGGTGTAATAATTATAATAACCGATCATTACATGAATTTTATGCATATTAAATACGTACATACCACCACAAAATGTAACCTATTTAATTGAAAAAAATTAAAATCGAACCCACCAAAAAACCAAGGAAAAAAAAATCCAACAAATAAAACACCAAACACATTTAAATATATCACGTTCCTGGTTTTGGCGCGACACCGACGCGTCGCGCAGCTACCCTAATTTGTAAATTTCAAATAGGCTTATTTTTTCTAGTAGCAAAAGTTTTCATGTGAAAATTTTGTTCATAATTAGTTTGTACACTTGCTTATTCTTAAATATTTTATTATCATGTAATTTTGTTTAATTATAGTATGCAAATGAAAAATGGGCACTACGTCCTATTGTACTGTTTATGTTAATACACATTATCTTATTTTTTTTTTTTAATAGTTTATCAATGCCGCAAAACGAAAATCTGAAATTGCAGTTTTCCGAAATTTAATTTTCATTAAATCCTATGTTGGGATCCTTGTATAAAATCGTTCATCACTCTCTACCTTTATTATTCATACTTCAATTGTTATGTCAAAATTACATATCAGAATTCTACAGCACTTAGATTGAAATGCGAATAAATAGTAAAGTTTCATGAAGTCGAATAGCTTATATAATAGAGAATACCAAGCTTGTGAAGCTATTATTAGCGTATGTTGTATTGTGTACTATTTATTTCTTTGAATTTAAAGTTTGTACTTCAAATCAGGACTTTATTAAATTTTCTTTATACGAATATAATAATAAATACGTAGTTTAATAATTCTTTAAGATATTTTTGTAAATAATATTAAATTGTAAATATTCATGATTCGAATAGCTTACTTTGAATACTTAGGGTGTTTCAATCACCTCACTCAATGGATCGGAATTAAATTTTTAATTAGTCGGAAATTAAATAAATTAACCGAGTGAATTACCTTTCGATGAACAACTCAGCGAGACACAAATAACCTTTTTTCTTCAAAAATTTACCATTGATAAAGGTCGCTCAAGCATTACTTTTACATTTTTTACATATTAAACATAATAAGCAATTAATTCTAAACAAATTTCTAACCGGTCTAAAAAGATAGCTTTTAAAACAAATAATCGATACATTAATGAGTGTAATAAATACAGAAATCATTTAACTTTTAACCAAACTATAATGAATACTAATATTCTTTTTTTCACTCATTTAAATTTATATATTCTCAGTAAATAAGGCCTAAAACTGAAGGTTTGGGTAGATGTTTTTCCATATTAAAGAAATTTAAATTGTTAAAATCATTAAAAGGAAGAGCCGACGTAATTAAAGTTGAAACTTTAACGGTTGTTCGAAAAGAAATTTTCATTAGGTTTTATAGGTAGTATAGTGAACATTACAAAAAAAAAGAAAAAGTATGCTCAAGCATTTAATCCTATAAATATCGGCATCAATAGTGATAGTTGAGCGTCATCCCGATTACTATCTGATCAATTGATTTAGATTCTTGAGGACAGCTTTAGATTAATAAATGTTCTTTATATTCACATGTCAAATTTGTGTAATTAAGAATTAATTAATTATCTAGAATTATAAATGTTCTGTATGTTAACAATCTAGATTAACACCAATTAAGGGCAAATATTCATGAGCTCAAGTTAGGGCTGCAAATAGGTCCTTCCGGTCGTACCGCCAATCTTTTAAAAGATTCATGCATGATTCAGAAACGAATAGGACTAATTAAAATTAGATCAGATGGACCGATGGTCACATAATTAAATTTTTTTTCAATCAGAATGATTTTGAGGAATTATTGATAATATTTACCTGTATCGGAAAGGTTTTCATTTCGCTACATCATCTAATACTAACTTTTAAACCGATAATTAATCTTTTTTATAAATATCTGAAGAACTAGGTCGTCCTGAATTCACACATTTCTCTGAGTTCCACCGCTCCAAGGTTAGTATTAATCTTTCGTCTGTCAAAAGACCTTGTTCAATATTTGGAGCGAGAAATTTATAACTCTCATAATACTGGATCATGCTTTGGTGGCGATTATGTGAATGATGGCGACTGTTATTGTGAACATTCAGCTTACAAAGAATTAATTAAAATCGTTAATACAAAATTGGGTTCGCTTTCTTTGGAATGGAAGAATATGAAATATTTCGAAAATTGTCAAAAATCTTAACGTATAGGTATGTGGCTTCAAATGCCTGTTATTAGAATAATATTGGCATGGTTGTTTTTATTACATGTAAATACATATTTTGATACCGATATATGTCGCAGCCCTAACTGACTACGAATATGAACACTGGCAATGCACCACCGATCACACACACGCAAGGATAAAGGATTAATGGGTTTATATATTACTGTTATCGAAAGCGAAAAGGTAAAAGCTTTATTTTGTTTTCTCAAGTCCCTTATATACACCGAAATTTGACTAAATTAATTTCATCATAATTTTGTCTAATACGTTATTTGACTTCCCATAATTACATCAATACGGTATTTAACTATCTTTACTTATCTCATAATTCGATCACACGGTAATTTTCCGACTGATCCGATTATTACTAACCCGTGATTCAATCGATGTTGCACGTGATCACGAGTCCACGATTCCATATGTGAAACTTATCCAAACGCGGCAAGCACTTATTTATTTATTATAATTATTGTTATTTTCACGCCTTCGAGTGGTAAATTCCCATCCTTTCAATGTTGGCTCTCTTTCACCGATATGCCACACACAACATATCACGAATTCCAACTTTCGTCGTGCAACCAGGTTTGGCCGTGACAGTATATTTCTATAAAACGGAAATTCTAAATAATGCATAAAAATGTAGAGTTTCATTAGCTAAGCTCTTTCAAATTATATGTATAATGTAACGTGTCTTTTTTACGCATCATATATACAGATGTGACACTTAGGCTAGATAACTACGTATCACGTTGTATGTAATGTCGATCGCAAGTTAAATCGAGTAATGATAACCCATCAATAAACTATCGAATAAAAAAAAAAAAAATATGTATACAAGAAATACCGGCAATAGCTCAGTTGGTAGAGCGGGAGACTGTAGTGAGGAAAACCTCAACGTTGATATCTCTAGGTCGCTAGTTCAAATCTGGCTTGCCGGAACATGTCACCTATTCTTTTAATTTTATTTTGTAATTTAAACGTCTATGAAATATACCAATACCTGTTTTTTGTGAATGTGGCTTTCTAAATTTATAAAAAACTTTTTTAACAATGAGATTACTCAATTTATTAATAACATGATTTTTGCTTTCATATTCATTTATACGCATTGTGCCCACAAATTGAGAACTTTAGTGATGGAAGATACATGCACATACTTGAAGTGGTTAATTAGGTATAGTTATCGCCAATATAATGAATTTTGCGTTATTTATAATGACGTTAATTGGCGCATTTAAATAGTGTTAAAAGAAAAAAAAAAATTCTTTTGAAATTTTTAAACGAAATTACACAATAAAAAAAAAAAAAAATCGGCCCACCATAAAATATACTTCGGTTTAATTTTTAAATATACGGCGATTTTTAATATTTGAAATCAAAAGATCTAAAATATTTTATTCAAATATGTTAAATTGTAATTTCATCAATTAAAAAATTTACTTGAAAATTTTAAGACTTGTTTCGTGTGGCATATTTCTTTATATCGACTTTTTAATATCAATGTCATCTTTACCCTTTTAATAATACACTTTTATTGGATATTTTTGGTTATAGATATAAATTGTTTTCCTAATTTGTTTGTTTACAAGTATCGTCTGTATTAGGTTCCTTGAATCATATTATCGAGACAATGAACCAAAATCTGTATCATCTAAATGGATATCCTAGCAAGTCTTATATTCTTTCGTTAAATAATCAAAATTTATACTGTACATCGCTACATAAAATGAGAATTGTTGTAATATGAAACTTATTATCACTGTTGTAAGAAAAACAAGCTGAATATTATTTCAGGCTAGTCACTTCTCAAACAATAGCTAAACAATATATAAGTTGTAAGTGGAAATATATTTGAATTAAAACTAGAAGGCAATGTCTCTCGAACATGCAATAACACACTATATTGTACAATATATTCACTATCCTTTTTGTTAAAAGATCTGTATTTATGCCTTTATAAATTTTATCTAATAATAAATTATGCTCCTTTCAGAACAATCTATCTCACCAGCGTGACACTTGAAGAACAATGATCATCACATCACGTGAAATCATGCAATTACGTCATTTGTTTACTAGCACTAAACAAAATTAGCCTAAACTAACCTAACCTATCACCTAACCTACACTAACCCTAACGTAGGCCGAACACTTAATCAGTGATGTGATTATCACGAATATATCACTGGGGTACTTGTTCTTCAATCTTCCTCTCACAAGCTTCATATTAATATGCGTATTACTAATATAACCAATACAGCAAAGTTGAACTGGGTTTTCAAGTTTATATCATAAAGTAGATCATGAATGTGAAGCATCGGGAAATTTTTTTTATTGCAGTTCTGCACAGATTTGCAAAAAAATTAAATAATAAATCAAATGAAAATCTTTGCAAAACTTCAAATTTGTTACTATAAATGCAGAAATTAGATGGAGTTCTGTGCAAAACTTCAGATTCTAACAAATTTCGCAGATTTTTTACAACAATTCTTCAAAAATCTGCAAAAATACAGATTTTTGCAAATTTGCACTTATTTAATTTTCCAAATGAGAATTTTAATTTAAGTGAAGTGTAAAATCAACATAATTAATTACGATGCTTCTCTTCTCAACAGTATGTACAAATTTACAATTTGTATGATAATTATAACTTTAGGCACTGGACTTGAGTTTTAAAAAGTTACTAAAATTATTAACTATTAATAATTTATAATTACTATGTGATTGCATTAAAAAAAAACTGTGTATTACAGTATATGCAATATCGTAATAAATTAAACCTTAAAGTCTGAATTTTCATAAATTTAATGAAATAGTGAATGATACTGTACCGCATATTATCAAGTGGTTCTAATTAATAACGCGACTATTGATTAATTATTATTGTTATTAATTCATGACGTCTCATTGGGGTGTGCGATATACTATGTAAATTAAAATTATATGTGGTCATATAATAAAATTTATTAATGGATTTTTTTGATAGGTAATAATTTTGTAGTAATTATAGCAAAATTTAAATAGATGTACAGCCCTAACGGTTCGATAGATTTGGATAAAATTTTGCAAGGACCAGTATTATTTCTCTATGAATAAAGCTATAGAGCTATTTCTTTTATTTAAGTATGAAAAAAAAAATGTGATTTTTTTTCGTAAAAAAAGAAAAAGAGTAACCTGATTTGAAGAAATGGCTCTATAGCTTTGTTCGTAGAGAAATAATATTGATCTTTGCAAAATTTTATCCAAATCTATCGAACTGTTAGGGCTGTACATCTATTCAAATTTTGCTATAATTACTATAAAATTATCACCTAAAAAAAAATCTTCATTAATAAATTTAATTATATGACCACATATAATTTTGATTTACATAGTATATCGCACACCCCAACGTCTCATCACTATGCGCGGATACAAATATTTATAACAATAAGTAGTCATATTTTATTTACTATATTTTATATTAAAATTTCTTAAGACTCTTATTACTTATTTTAATGCCACTTTTGCCAAGATAATTTTGTGAATAATTTAAGTATTTACAATAGTGAGTATAATTATATAATTATATAACCAATATATATAATTTAAACATAAGATATTTAAATTAGTAGGTATATATTATATTTACATTATACCTTAATTTTGCATTAATCTAATTTGAGCAAGTATATATTAGATATTATTTTAAATAACTTCAAGAGAAAATGAACTTCAATTATATAAATTCTGAATGATTGAAGTCACATTTCTCTTGGCGTCACCATTTATTACTGTATTAATTAGTATACTTTAAGAAAGTACAGAGTAATATAAAGAATGTCAATAGTCAGTTATTTAAACAAAGGTGTTTATGAATCTTTGTTAGGGACCTTCAAAATTAATATATTTTAAAGAGATAAAAATCAAATTTAGAATTATGAATGTCAAATTAAATAGTGCATTTGGCGATTCGTGTTTATATAGTCTAAAATGTAATTAACAATAAATGAGATTATCATTTGAAACCTCTATGTATTATACCGCAACTTAATTTTGCATTAATTTAATCAAATGAACTTGATATTATTTCTAAACCTGTTTCACTCACTTCATCTATGCTTCTTTTGTAGTAACAAAGCTTTACTAAAATATAACATAACATTCTTTACTGTTACCAATTTAATCATGAATATAATAACTGACGTTGTAGATCTGCAGCTTGGGCATTTATCAATCGTTAATTGCTTTCGCAATAATAAAATAAGGATAATTTGGGACAATTAGAGAATTTAGAACATCAAAAACAAATCTTTTTATTTTAGGATAATCCGAAAACAAACTTTATTCCCAGCTATAAGAAATAACCTTGACCAAACAGTAAAAAAAAAAAAAAAATTAAGATCTTTCACTACGAACTATTCACAAAACCAGTAAATTTACTGTGCGTTATCTTAAATCTAAAGGTTACTTTTAAACAATAAACACTAGAGAAATGTTATCCTATGTTATTAATGCTATTGCAGCATTACAGTTTTTAACACATTACTACAATATTATTATAATATTTAAATACAACAGCATTATGGTATTTCAATATAGCGGCATTACGGCAATGTGCATTGCAGTATTATGGCACAAAGTAATTACGGCAAATAATACAGCACATGCTGTAATCGTATTAATTTGCCAAATTAATTCTACCAGCACGCTTGTTCTTATTTTATTAAGGGCGAAACAAGCATTAAATAACATTTTACATTTAGTGAGAATAAAAAGAACAAGATCGAATGTTTCTAATCTAAGCCCATCACTAACCCATCACACCATTTCCTCATCTTTTCGCATCATTTGGTTTTTTTTTTCATAACTAAGCTTTAGCACCACTAGCCTAAATTGGTTTAATCCCAATTTCTTCTTTTCTTCGCTCTTAGGGCTTCTTCAAATCAGAGTCTTGGTAACGGTTTCAGGTCTCGTGACACAAAAATTGCAGTCTG